ATTCTGGGGAAATAATGTTGATCATTACCCCAGCACCCTGATTCTTTCATTCTATTTGGGGATTTATTTTGCCAGTGTCTCCCACTAGAAAACACATTCCAGAGCTTCTCTCATGCTTGGTGTCTCGCATCATTAGGAAAATAGAACAGGAATTTTTAGGATTTCTTTCATCCAAAAATGGATTACTTGGTTAGACAAAAATTGGGTCAGGAGAGAAGTCAAAATGCTTGGTGAACCTTGATGTGTGGCCTTAAGCAAACTGCCTCCCACCCCTAGGCCTCAGTTTCCTCATTTCTATGATGAGGTATTGGACTAGGTCCTTTCCAACAATAAAGGCTTTTTAACTGTCTAAATAAATAAGCGTTGAAGTGACTTTTGCTTTGAACATTGCTATTATTTCCTATAATCCAGAGGTAAATATTAATGAACATATTTTAATTTGTGCTCTGAAGGTAGATATTCAGTTGTCTTGCCTAGAAAGGGAAAAAGTAATGATAATAGCTTATATTTATATAGGTCATAAGGTCATAGGATCCTAGAAGAGAAAAAAATTATAACAATAGCTTATATTTATTTAAGTTATACATAGATCATATCATCGGATCTTAGATCTAAAGCTGGAAGATTAGAGGCCATCTAGTTCAACTCCCTCATTTTACAGGTGAAGAAACTGAGGCTCAGAGAGGTTACGATGCTCCATAGTTTACATAATGTCCTCCTTACTTACAACAGGCTGTTCCATCTCCAGCTGAGGCCCAGGGATCTGACCCTAGTCAGACTATATCTGGAATGTCATGTTCAGCCTGGGATGCCACAGTTCAGGAAGGACATTGGAGACTACCCAAAAATGGGTAACCAAGATGGCACAGCACCTCAAGGTCATCACTCATGAGGATCAGTTGAAGGAAGTGAGGAAAGTTTTAAAGGAAGGAATTGGAAAAAGAGATGACTTGGGTCAGGGAATGAGGTGGAGGAGATGTAATAGTTGCCTTCAAGTATTTGAAAGGTGATCATGTGGCAAGAAGGATTGACCTTGATCTGCTGGAACCCAAAAGACAGAACAAAGAGTAATGGATGAAAGTCACAGAGCGGTCAACTTAAGTTTGATGTCAGGAAGAGTTATTCCAAAGTGAAAGAGGATGCCTTGGGAAGGAATAGGTTCTCCCTCCCTGGAAGTCCTCAATGGAGGCTGGACAAATTGCTTGCTGGAGATGTTGGAGGAATTCTGGTGAGGTAGATACCAGGTTGGTATGATTTTCACAAACCTTCCTCTGCTCTGACCCAATTTTCCTTCATTTTTTCCCCCTGTACTGCTAGTAGTTTGCAGTTCAGTACTTCTGTGAACATATACTAGCCCTTCCTAGAAATGGATGGTTTTTCCTGTGGTTTCAAAAAATAAGATAAGTTACATCAGTGTTGATTTACTCATTTATACTCCATCTCCTTGTTGAAGAAGCAGCTCAGAGCCCTTCACCAAAGTTTTAAAATGCTACTGTTACTCTGAGTATCACTGGGACCTTTATTAGGTGGTCAACAATAGAACATTTTAAAAAAGAAAAGTTAGAAAAACTTGAGTCCTTTCCCATCCCATTCCTTCCTATTTAGGGGTGTTGTGGAGGTAGAATTGGGTAACCTGAATTGGAATTGTGGTTCTGCAGCTTACTACTTGCATGACCAAGGGTGAGCTACTTCCCCTCTTTGGGGGGAAAAACCCCCGGGGTTGGAGGAGGAAGGGGAAGAAGAGGGAGGTGGCTGAATTTGGTGATCTTTAAATTCTTCAAATTCTATGAATCTATGCTCTCTAGAGATAGTCCCACAGATTTCAAAAGGACATGGTGTTTTCCTGTTAAAGACATAGTGTTTTCCTATTCAAATAGTACAACTTGTCCAGCATTAATTATACAGATGTCTTCCATTCATGAGAATGAGGATCTTAGATAAAGATTTAGGCTAAATTGGACCATCTGCTATTTCCTGAACTTGAGCTCCTAGCTCCTGCCTCTCAGCTGTGAAGAATTCATTCCTTCCTTATCTTTCTTCAAGCCTCAACTTCTCCATGAATCTGTAAAATGTAAGCTCCTGGAGGGCTGGAGCTCTTTTGGTTGTGTCTTTTTGTCCTCTATCCTTAACACAGTGCCCTGCATAATAAATATTTGTTTAATTTAATTCTGAGCATTTCACATACTTGCCATTCTTCCTTTTAAAAGCACCATTTAAAAACCTCAGAAACAACTGAAAAATCTTAAGGGTCCAATAATATCTTTTACTTAATTTGGTATTAACTGGAATCCACATAATGCTTCAAGAATTTACAAAGTACTTTCACATACTTAAAAGGCCCTTTGTAGGGAGAACACATGTGATATCACCAGGTTCTTCTGCGACTCGAGCCAGATAGGTAATACAAGTGTTATTAACTCAGCTTTAGTGATAGAGACCCTTGGGTTCAGGAAGGATGAGTAATTTGCCCACGGCTGCTCAGCTTGTAAGGGGTAGAGACTTAAAACCAGATCTCTGATTCCAAGTCCAGTGTTTTTTCCACCTCTCAAGCCCCATTATCAAAGTCATAGAATGTTAGACCTGAGGGAGGCCTTAGAGATTATCAAATTCAAATGCCCTTATTTTACAGAAGACGCAGTTGAGGCCCTCAAAGGGAAAGTGAATTTGTATTAAGTCCACAAAATTAGTAAGTAATAGACCTAGTTGTCAAATCTGGGCCCTCTGACTCTGAATCCAGTACATTTTCCATCATGTCTTGCAGCCTCTGACTTGGAATTTGGCTTTACAGAAATTTAGTCAGTTAATCAAGAAGCATTTATTAAGTGCTTATGTGCCAGGTACCATTCGAGGTATTTGGAGATACAAAGACAAAAGCAAAACAGTTATTTTCCTCAAAGAGTTCTATTTAAGAGAGATGGACTAGTCAGTCAGTCAATCAATCAACGAGCATTTATTAAGTGCCTACTTAATAGTGCCAGACACCAAGCCAAGAGCTGGGGATACAAAGAAAGACAAAAAACAGTCCCTACTTTCAAGGGACTCAGAGTCTAATGGGAGAGACAATATGCAAACAATGACATATACACAGGATAAACAGACTGTCAGAGGGAAAGCACTAAGACGAGGAGGACTAGGAAAGGCTTCTTACAGAAGATAGGTCTTTAGCACAGCCCTACCATTCTGTAACCTGCTGAAACCCAGTTTAGTTGCATGACCCAAGCCAAATCACAGAGTTTCAGTTTGCTAATCAGAAGATTAGGCTATTTCACAATTTACTATGATTTTAATGGTATGATAAAATGCATTGGGTCTTCTGGAGAGAGGCTTTGTATAGAGTGGCAAAAGCACTGGACTTGACCTCAGAAAACACTGAGGTTACAGCAAATCAAGCAGAAGCATATTGCCCATATCAGTTCATTCCTGTGTTGCAAAATCATCCCCCCAGAATCTGCTTTTTAAACTATTATTGTAGCCAAAAAAATTTGCAACAAATTACCCAGGGACACCATTACTAGGCCAAAACTCCAAGGAGATCAAAAAGAGAAGGAAGGGATCTATATACTCAGACTAGCAGTTCTTTTGTTGGGTGGCAAAGAGTAGGAAAGTAAAGGGGTGCTCATCAGTTGAGAAATAGCTGAACAAAGTTTGGTATATGAATGTAATGGAATACTATTGTGATGTGAGAAACCTCACAGAACGTGGTTTCAGAGAAGCCTGGGAACTGATGTGCTGTGAGGCAAGCAGAAGTAGGAAAATTCATACTACACAACAATGAACTAAAATGAAGAAACTCTGAAAGACTTAAGAACTCTGATCAACTCAATGACCAACATGATTCCAAATGACTAATGATGGAGGAGACTATCCATTTCCTGACAGTGAGGTGATGGATTAAATATGTAGAATGAGACATATTTCTGGACCTGGCCAATATGTGGATTTGTTTTGCTTGACTATACATATTAGTTACAAGGTTGTTTTTTTTCTTTTTTCTTTTCCCCAAGAGGAGATGGGTGGGGAGGAGTGTTTGTTAACTGAAAAAAAAAATCTAATTTTTTAAAATTGGAAAAAAAATTATGCCCAAGCCACTTTGAGAGAGCTCTGTGTGAACCTAGGGACTTTCACCCCCCTTTCTCTAAAGGTTTTCTAGAGGATTATGCATTACACAACTGAGGAATGACATTCTGTACCATGACTCCCTGTCAGTCATTTTCCTCTAAAATTGGGTAATTCAGGACAGTCCTAGCTCCGTTGCTTACAGACTGGGTAATCTAGAGCAAATCAGTTACCCTCTTTGGTCACGTTTTCTCCTTTGTAAAATAAAGGGGTTTGAAATGATCTCTAAGGCCTCCTCTAGCAGTCCATAAGTCCCTGCCATTACCAATGCTAGTCTGCCTCAGTTATTACTCTTTATAGATAAGCCCCGGCCAGGCTGTCCCCCTTTTTCACTCCTGAGCACACGTGGGTAAGGCGCTTCAGAAAAATCCCCGGGTAAATGCCCAAATATCAGGCTCATTGACAGTCCTAGGTCTATGCTTCGGGACCTAGGAATAGGATTGAAATATTAATGCTGCTCTAAACGCACTCTCAGAAGGGGGGGGGGTAACGCGAAGAGGGCTGGCCATGGGGTCGCGACGACTCGTGTCAGAGAGGTGCCTCAGGCTCGTGCACACCTCCTGCCATCCACACCAGACAATCACAGATGCCAAGCGAATTCACACTCTCTCCGGCTGATCACCCCACTCCCCTCCAGCCCGCCTTTCCGGGACTGCTACCTGCCCTGTCCCATTCGGTGGTACCTCCTTTGAATAAGCCTACCATAAGAATGGGCCAAGTATTGAGCATTGACGACTGGGCCCTTCTTCCAAGGGAGGATCGGAGGACTAAAGTCTTGTTTTCCCAACAATTCTAAGGCCCCACGGAGAAGTAAAACAAAAAGCAAAGCGCATTCTCAATCCTTCCCCACCATCCCCCCACGGTCAAGGTTCCCCAGGACTCACCGCTATCAAAGCTCCCTCGGGAGCCCCAAGGCAGGACTTTGCTGCCAGCCCATGATCTCTTCCAACCAGCCGGGGCACAGTCGGCGAGAGGAAGGGAGGCCGGGAAACCCAAGGGGCTGGGAAGTTTTCTTCATCTGTTACTTTCGGTCTCCACCCCACCCCCCAACACCTTGGTTCCCCCTTCTTAAAACAACAGGAGCCGGCACTTTTTCTTTCCCCCCAACTCCGCCGCAGCTCCTGGGGAGCACATTTGCACGCCCAGCCTTCTCGGTTACCTCGGACAAATGAAGCGGCCGCGTCCACTCCCTCCCAGGCTCGGCTCATCCGGCTTCCCAGCAGTGACGCTGCCTCCCCCGCTTCGAGTCCCAGCCAGGGACGCGGGGGCCACTAGCTCCCAGCTTCTCTCTTCCTCTTTTTCTAGGATTAGCCGGGGGCGGAGGTGGGGTTGGGGAGATGGGGGTGGGATCGAGGAGGGGGCGGGGCAGAAGTTTGTGGCTGGCGCCGCCTTCAACCCTCCTCTCCTTTCACTGGACAGGTGCTCCTCTCCTCCGGCACAGTTCATAGATAGTGGGGTTTGAGGTTGGAAGGGACCTTAGATAACACCCGGGATAGAGGGAGCTAGGTGGCGCCGGGGACCGAACCGAACGCCGAACCTCAAGTCGTGAGAACCATTGTTCATGTCGTGCCTCAGACTCTTGCAAGCTATGTGAACCTGAGCAAGCTAGTTAAACTTTCTTTGCCTCAGTTTCCTTATCTGTAAAGTTGGGATAAAAATAACTACCTCATAGCAGAGTTGTTGGGGGTCAAAGAAGAAAACAGATATGCAAAACTTGTTGCAAATCTTGAAGCCATTCAAATGTTAGCTATTAGTCCAACCCCCCCCCTTTTTTATACAAATGAGGAAATTAAGCTTCAGCTAGTAGACGTGTAGGAGAGCACATTCCCACAATGAATCCACAAGCATTTATTAAATGGGAACAATGCTGGATGCTGGAGATACAAAGACCAAAACGGTCTCTGTCCTCCAGGAGTTATATTGCAAAAAGAGAAACCCGGATACACAAAAGTTGGCACAAAATAGGAACAAGATAATTTCAGGGTTGGGTGGGCTTTCCACACAAGAGGTAGCATTTGACCTAAGCTTTGAAGGAAACATGGAGATATTCTAAGAAGAAGGGGTAATAACAATAGTAATAATAGCTCACATTTATGTAACAAAATTTTACAAAGTACTTTACAAATATCATATCATTTTATCCACAAGACAACCCTGGGAGATAGATGCTATTATTATCTCTACTTGACAGATGAGGAAACTGAGGCAAGCAGGTTAAGTGACTTGACCAGGGTTACACTACTAGGAAGTGTCCACTGTTCCATCTAGTTGCCTAGGTGGGAGATGAGTGTGTTACAGGCATAGGTGACAACTTGTGCAAAATGCACAGATCTAGGATCGGGCATTGCTAGTTTGGAGAACAGCTGGCAAAACAGATGGCAACTGATTCTACATGAAGGGTGAGAGAAAAGGATTAATCAGACAACCAAAAAAGCATTTATTAAGTGTAAAATCAGTCTGGCCAGTTTGGCTGGAGACGAGAGTGCATGAAACCAATAATGTGAAAATGAAAAGCCTAGAAAGGTAGGCCAGAGGCAGATCGTGAAGATTTTTAATGTCCAACTGAAGAGTTTTTACTTGGTTACTAGAGGCCATAGAAAGAGTCACCAGGACTTTGTCAACATAGGAGTGGCATGGGCAGATCTACACTTTAGGAATACCATTTTGGCAACTATTTGGAATATGATTGGAAAAGGGAGAGAAAAATTGGGACACTAATAACAACAGTCCAGACCAGAGGTCATTAGTACCAGCACAAAGGGTGGAGATGAAAGACGAAAGAAGGGGCCAGATACAAGATATACGGTGGAGTAAGATTGACCAGATGGCAACTGTTTAGATATGAAGGGTGAGAAAAAGGGAAGAAGAGAGGATTAATCAAGCAACCAAAAAGCATTTATTAAGTGTAAGTCAGGAAGACTCCTCTTCGTGAGTTCAAGTCTGGCCTCAGACACTTGCTAGCTGTATGACCCTGAGCAAGTCACTTTACCCTGTTTGCCTCAGTTTCCTCATCTTTAAAATGAGCTAGAGAAGGATATGGCAAACCACTCCAGCATCTCTGCCAAGAAAACCCCAAATGAGGTCATGAAGAGTAGGGCATGACTGAAACAACAACAACAAAACGTGCCAGGACTTGTGACTCTGAGGTTGTTAACCAAGTAGTGCCTTCAACAGCTGAAGGAGAGTTAAGGAGAAGGAATAGTTTTGGGGAAAAGACAGTAAGTTGTGGTTTTAGATATCTGAGACACAGGACTAAAGTTCAGGAGTAGGGCCAGATGATAATTGAATCCACAGAAGTTGATGAGATCATCACCAAGAGAGTACAAAGAGAGTTAGAGGAGGGGGCCTAATGGTGACTGGGGAGCCGTGTGAAGTTAAGGGGTGGGACATGGGTAGTGAAACAAGTAGGACTGTTGATGAGTAGCAGAGTGGTGAGTGGTGGAGCTGTGATTATACTCTGGGTCGTCCATTCCATACCGAGTGTGCTGCAGATTATCCCACATTATTCCTTCTGCCTTTTCTGATATTCCTCAAATACATTCGTAGGACACTGACAAAGATTGACACGGACTTTGGTACATCGGAAAGAGATTCCGGTGGGTCTCAGATCTTCTACAACATCAAGCAGTTGGAGGAGATTTTGTTTTTGGTTTTGTTTTGAGTTTCTTCTAGCTCTCTAGCTCTGCTCTAGTTCAATCTTTTCATTTTACAGAAGCTGAGAGAGTCAGGGTGACTGCTCAGCGTCATATATAATGCAAAAGGTGAAGGTGAGACTAAAACCCAGGACCACTGACTCCTAAATTAGTGTTTTTTTTTTTAAATTTTTATTTTTTTTTGATGAGGCAATGGGATTAAGTGACTTGCCCAGGGTCACACAGCAAGTCAGTGTTATGTGTATGAGGCCGGATTTGAACTCAGGTCCTCCTGACTCCAAGGTTGGAGTTCTATCCACTGCGACACCTAGCTGCCCCCTAAATAAGTGTTTTGAAAGGTAGTTTGACGTAGTGGGAAGGGCACTGTACTTCGAATAAAGAGACCACCATAGGTTAAAATCCTGGCTGAGATACTTTCTATGTTTGGTCATAGGGCAAATCACTGTCCCCTAGAAGCCTTGGTTTCCTTATCTAAAAAAAAAGGATGATACTTCCATCCCTTGCCTCCCCAGGTACTTGTAAGGGAATATAAGGCTACTTTGTCTTTAAAAATTTCCTTTCTGTTTCCTTTTTTCCCAAAGCATCCATCATTTTAAATTTGGGCTGATTCAGAATTCTAACTGTCTGATCTCTCCATCCACACTGAAACAACCTAAAGAGCTCAGAGAAAGAGGCTGGCACAAGACATGACATTATGTATATCAGGAAGTACCTTCCTCTCTTGTACTCTCATTCCCGACTCTGCCATTTGGAAACCCCTTCTGCCTTCCCATGTAGAGTAAAAGCCACCCACATTCTATGACTAGTCTCTGCTTTCCCCCTCTTCACCTAATGAATTCCCTACTCATACTTTAAAGGGCAATCTGGTATAATGAAAACCACATTAACTGAGGAGTCAGAAAACCCTAACCCTCTCTGGGCCTTTTTCTTTTTTTTTTTTTTTTAATTTTCTTTCTTTCTTTTTTTTTTTTAGACAATTGGGGTTAAGTGACTTGCTCAGGGTGACACAGCTAGTAAGTGTCAAATGTTTGGTCTGAGGCCAGATTTGAACTCAGGTCCTCCTGATTTCAGGGCTGGTGCTTTATACACTGTGCCATCTAGCTGCCTCTCTGGGCCTTTTTCTTCACTTGTAAAATTAAAGTGTTGGGAGAGATGATTTCTAAAATTCTTTCCAGCTTTAAACCTAGAATGCAACTCAAAGGTCACCTCTTTCATAAAGTTTTCCCTAGTTCAATAGGTAGTGATGACCTTGGATTTATATAGAATTTTGTACCTCTCTTATGCATTTATCACTATTATTTTCTGTTACTATTATCTAAGCATTTGTCATATCTTCTATTAGATGGACCATAAGGAGTGTGTGTTATCTCATCTCACCTCAATCTTTATCTCATCTCCTCCTTCTAGTCTCTGAATTTTGCTTGTGATCACGTCCTGCTAGGCCAAGTCAATTCTGGCTCCTAACTCTTTTATCTGACTCTACTTGCTGTTCTTCATTATTCCTGGCTCCTTTTCCTGAGATCATACCCTATTTCTCTCAGTTTCTACAACCTTGGAGGCAGGACAATTCATCTGTGATGCAGAGAGGCAACAGTCTTTCTCCTACTCTCTGACTGCCCACAGGCAGCTTATAAAAGTCTAGAGAAAAAGAACATTTGGGAAGATGAGGCATGGGAGAGGACTGTTGTGGATAGTCCCTGATCCTGTTTAGGAGCAAGGACCAGGGTGTGTGGCGTCACTCACCCCAGATGTCACATACATCACCTGACACAAGAGGATGCTCTATGTTATCAGCCACAGCTTCTGGGTCCTTTTAAAGGCTGTAAGGTGGCTGCTGTGGCTCAACCTCATGGACAGAAGCCCAGATTCTTTCCCATATTCTAGGAATTTTGTGTAGATTTATCCAATCAGATTCCTGACTCATTCCTCACCTTCCTCATCCCTTTGTTCCTCCCCTAGGATTTCATTTGAGGTCATTAACAAAGATATGATTAGAAATTAAATATGTAACACAATACTAGAAATGAGAAAAAATACAGTGATAGAGTGCGGGCATCTCCTATCAGCCTGAATTATCCTCTTCAGACCAGAGCCCAGCCTTTCTTCGTGACAACAAGCCATGGAATTCAAAGAATCTCAGTTCATTTGCCCCCATCCGAGTCTTCCGCTCCCATTGCTGCAGAGAGGGAGGGGTACTCAGGGAGTCCCATGGCCAGGCCACGTGTGAGAGGTCCTGATTGCTGTTCCTCCCTGCTCACCTCTGCTCAAGACCCTGCTGCCTTCCTGTAGCTGCTGATTGGCAGCAGAGAGATTGATCTAGGTATGCCTCTCTTCACTTGTCTCCCTACAAGCCCTTTAAGCTTAGATGACCCTTAAAGCACTCATGTTTCCAGCTTCCATCCTGCATCATTGACTATTGGTGTCAGGATCACTCTGTA